TTAGTCCCTTATTTATCAGGGGTCGCCACAGCGGAATAAAATACCAACTATTCCAGCATATGGTTTACACACACACACACACACACACACACACACACACTTAAACACTATGGCCCATTCAGTTAATTCAATTCACCTATATCACATGTCTTTGGACTGTGGGGGAAACCGGAACACTCAGAGGAAACCCACATGAAAACTGGGGGGAACATGCAAACTCCACACAACAGGCCCAGTCGGGACTCGAACCAGTGACCTACTTGCTGTGAGGTGATAGTGCTAAAACCACAGTGCTGCCCTTATAGAGAGTTCTGTTTCATATAATCTATGCTGTGATCAGTACAACATTCTGTAGTACTTTTATTATGTGAATAGACATTTTAGTCTGTAAAATCAGTTACAGGCCTATTTAATACTTAAATATTATTAATATTTGATCATATTTGAGTATTCTTACAAGATCAATGTAGCATTTTACATACATTTGATTTTATTTTGGATGTGAATTGTATTGTGGAACTTTTTTCAGAAATTCACCTGTAAACAATTACTTAAGAGAGATTTATTTTACACAAATCTAATGAAAGATGATTATATAGGGTTATACCAGCAAAAGTCATTTTCAACTCGAAAAAGAACAAATCAACAAGACTATACAATGTTACATGGAGAAAAAAAAGCAACAATAAATACATTCCATTAAGTTACTCAGATCAATAATTCAACATTCTTTCTATTTCAACATTATTGCATATTTTTATATGTATACAATATTATTGGTACTTAAAAGGTCATTTTAGCATTCCCTTTTAATCAGGCTGGTAGCCAGCCTGGTGAAAGGGTGGGTCTTTTTTTCTCAAAAAATTCTTGATTTAAATATTTTTGATTTAATTATGATGAGCTTCAAATACTGCATTTTCATGATATTTTAACAACTATTTTTCGCTGAATTGGCTTGTCGGATGGTCATCGTAAAACCACATTTTGATATACCGAATATATTTTCTAAAAACTTTGAATAAATGAAAATACTAATTTATTACATTATATTTCATTAGAAAAATATGAATCTGTAAAATTTTTACATTAAAAACTGTAGCCTATTGTCATTTATAAGGTAAATAGCTAACCAGCACATTCAACTTTTCTTCAGTTTATAAATAAAAAGTAATTAAAACATAATAATCAAAAATGTAATTATTATAAAATGGTATTCAGATCAGTTTTAATATGGGCCGCTTTTGGTGCTTCTCACACTCATTTTCTGTTTCAAGAGTAGGCCTAAGGTCCAAGATATAGAATAGCCTAAACGTCACTTGTAAAATGTTTTCTCTATTTTAAAACAATTCAGTATCGAAAGTTTACTTCACTGAGGTCAGATTTTACATTTTCTTGCACAGCTGGATGTTAGACTCATGAAAAATAATTGTTTGCTTTGAACAAAACGGATTAGCTGAGGTCACACTGAAGCAACAGCCAACAGAAGATTCCGCTTGCTCTTGAAGCCTTTTTCGATGGGTTATTTTTAGTGTTTATGATGGCATAGCAGTCAAAATAGGACAAATAAGTTCATGTATAGGACAAATTCTGGACCTTTGTCAGTGAGGAGTGGGTCTTCCGAACCACCCGACCCCCCTGGCTATACGGGCCTGAATTAACTACACACACGTGCACGCAAACTACGTCAGTCTGTCTGCAGGCTAACCACAATCCTCCTGCCTGCTGTGGCGACCGCAAGCAGTCAACAATGCCACACTCAGCATCATACTGCATAACAGAGCGATCAATACACGCACACACGCACACACACAAACCACCACCACACTGTTCATCACATCAATCGATAATTATGTACACCGCCACATAGCTCAACAGCAGTTACACATTCTTCTAAAATGTCTCTAAAGACATAAATACATATCTATATAAATATTCACAAGTAACGCTGCCTGCACACACCACCTTGTAAACAAAAAAGACAAACACCAAGGATAAAACCAAGATAATGCAATGGCTGGCTGATATTTTAACATGAAAAATTGTATATTTGTACCTAATTGAACCCTAAAAATTCTCATAATTATGGTTAGCTGTTTTAACAGTTTAAAAAGCATACTACATTATTAAAAATATCCTGGTTGCCTTAATTTTTTTAAGCTGAATCAAATTATCCTTATGAATCCACTAAACTTATAACTTATACTGAACTGCTTGCATAACTTATAAGATTAAGTTAGAACATGATTAACTTTGTTTAATAAGTTACAATGAACTAAAAACATGCTGAAGATACTTGTAAATTTTTTTAGACTTTAATAGTTTATCCGTTAAGTAAAGCGCTTTATTAGCTAGTGCTAATTCCTTTCTTTTTGAAAAGATTCTTGTAATTATTCATTACAGATACTCATTTATTAGATGTACTCATTCATGAGGTAGTACTTGTTAAGTAGACCGACACTTGTATACTTAATTAGAAGCTAGTATTTATTTGTTAGATACTAGTTCTTTAAATATTAGTACTTATTCATTAAATACTAGTACTTATTCCTGAGCACTATTAAATGATAAGACCTAGTATGTTTTATAAAGGCACTGTTACTTAAAAAATAATCAGTATGGCTATTAAAAAAGTAGACTACTAGTAATTAGAGACCAAAATTCCCCAAATGTTCTGTTGGGGAATTTTCTTTATGTGAGTCGAACTTTCGCTTATTTGGCAACATTTTCTCATTCTCTTTAATTTCATTCATTCAATCATTTTCTTCTGCTAAGTCCCTATTTCACAGGTCACAACAGCAGAATGAACCGCCAACTATTCCAGCATTTGTTCCAACAACACCAAAAAACCTATAGCATTAAAGGAAGGTTCATTTTAACATTCCTAGAACCTTCTTTTTACATTACCAAAAAATAAATGAGAACCATGTGGGAAGTTTAGTGGAATATTCTGTTTTTACAGGGTAAAAATCTATTAGTGTTAGAAAATAGCATGCAAATAAGTACTAGACTGCTCACTAGATTAAATGTTTAAATGACTTGTCATATCCAAATAGCAAGATTCATATGGCTCAAATCTGGCCCACATCAAACACTTACATCCAGCCCACATACAGTACCACAGGGAATGATGTCACTTGGGCAGAGTTTACAGTGCCGAATACTGTAAAGTGGCCCAAATATGTTCTAAGATAACTGGACCACATTTGCCATATTTTCTCTGGGCCACTTTAGGCTCACATTAGCCAAAGCTTACTGAGTAGAATATTTGCTAAAAGTGGCCCACATATGTTTAAAGATAACTGGGTCACATTTGTCATATCACATCTGAGCCACTTTAGGCTCACAGAAACCATATCCAGAGCTTTCTGTGCCAAATATTTGCCAAAAGAGGCCCACATATGTTTGATAATAACTGGCCCACATTTGCACCTATATTTGAGCCACTTTAAGTTTAGACCCAGATTACCTTTAAATGACTATGCCACATTTTTGCCAACAGTAGCCAGCATTTGTCCTTAGTCATCTGAGCCAAATTTACCATTTTCCAAATGGGCTACATTAGGTTCACAATCAGATTACATTTTGAAATAAGTGCCAAAATGTTCATTTTGTATGGGCCGAAAGAAGACCACCAGTGCTGCACAACTGCCTAAACTGGCCCACATTTGTATGCTATCTGGGTACTGTTGGTGTTATCTATTGTAGCAACGTAATTTGACATCAAACTGTTAATTTAGGTATTGCTACAAACAACATATTTTTGCTTGTCTGACACATTCAAATTCAAAGATTTGTAGGCCTACAAAAAAGATATCTGAGGAATAAACTGGTTGCATTGGCAGTGTCATTAATGTGTAATAGGTTAGCGCACTCTTTCATCGCCTCCTTGTACTTAAGTTTACCCTCCCTCATCTCTAAATCTAAAAATGTCCAGCCGGTTTGACTCATTAGCAGTGCTACAGAGAATAGCACTACAAATCTTTCAGCCAGCGAACAGCTTGCATTAATACCTCCAAACCATTGTGTTATTTTGTCATTGTGGGGACTTTCAATTAACTTTCAATATATCTTAAGCTAATGAAGCTTTCTCACTTAAACTGGACAATCACATTAACCTATACAAACTTTTTTTGTACTACTTTATATTTATTGCTTTTTGGCGTAAGATTGTCCTTTTATTAACAACTTATATTTTCTTTATAGCTTGATATCATTATAATTATATAATAACAATATATATATATACATATTTGAAGTCAGAATTATTAGAATCCTTAAATTTATTTGCCCTCTGTCTATTTTTTCCCCAATTTCTGTATACCGGAGAGACGATATAATAGTTTTAATAACTCAATTCTAATAACTGATTTATTTAATTTTTTCCATGATGACAGTAAATAATATTTTACTAGATATTTTAAGACACTTCTATACATCTTTAAGTGACATCTATGTTAATTAGGTTAACTAGGCAGGTTAGGGTAATTAGGCAAGTTATTATATAATGATGATTTGTTCTGTAGACTATCGGAAAAAATAGCTTAAAGGGGCTAATAATTTTTACTTTAAAATAGTTCTTAAAAATTAATGACTGCTTTTATTCTAGCCGAAATAAACAAATAAGCCTTTCTCCAGAGGAAAAAATATCATCAGACATAGAGTGAACATTTCCTTGCTTTGTTAAACATCATTTGAGAAATATTTAAAAAGGAAAAAAAAAAAAAAACCTTATAATTCTGACTTCCACTGTATATAGCCTATCTGTATACTATAGGCTTTAAAAAAATCCTTTAGAAATAGGCTAATTCTCCATTAGCAGATTTTTCTTTTCATTTTACAAATTCAAATCTATTTGGTGAAAGCTGTAAGTGTAACTTGATTTATAACCATTTCCTACCTTTACACACATCTGTTATGTTGGACACAGACATGCTTTTAGGACCTCCTCCTCTCTCTGCAAATGGGCTGTTTAGATTTTCACACTGTATCGATCTCAAAGTGAGATGCTTGCTCACCCAGACACTTCTTCGGATCGTTGGGTCAAGTCGAGTGTGATAAAACATTTACCCGAGCCAGCGGAAACGTAATATCCAAACTAATACGCTCTTTCAAGAAAGGAGGTTTGTGTCTCCCTCTTTTGGCTAAAGCGTATAGAAATCGTCATACAAAAAGGAAGACCGTGATGATGGAAAACAGAGCAGTTTTTTTTACAGAATTGCTCACCAACAGAGTCGCTTCACGCTAAATAAATGTGTATGCTTAGAAGTAAAAGATACAAACTATAAGTTAAATATTCATAGAAATAGTTTCAGTAATGCAGTGCAATTATAAATTAACATGTCCACAGTCTATGATGTGGCCAAGCCTACCTCAATCTACCAGCTGTTTAGTCGTTTGTCCGACGAGTTTCTGTGTAAACTCTGCAGAAACTGCGTGCTTAAGAGTGACATCAGCGTTATTCTTCCTCTTTCTATCAGCTTCTGAAAACGTCAAGAGATCAAAGTTGACCAGCTAAAAGCGCCAGCACGCTGTTTCTTCCTCATTTCAAACTTTGCCTCTGAGTGTTGCTTCTCAGTGTAGTTTGTGTATGTTTAATCTTAACATTGTCTCAGAAATTAATCACAAAATATTTTTAAAGAGACACTTCTGAGGACTAACTTGTTGCAAGATGGCTTTATTATTTTGCGATTCTTTCTGGGTAAGTTCTTCTTTATAATTTTCTCACGGAGTAAAAAAGTGTTAGTTCCTGTATTTTTCGTCTAGTTTAATGGGTTTAATAAGTTAGTCGTTACGTTTAAAAAACATTAAGCCGCATTCAAGACGTTGTTGCTGACACTTTATCCCACTGTTCATGGTTCCCTAAATCTTTCGTTTTTAGACCTCATAAAATATAAATAAATTCAGCAGAGACTTCATGAAGTAGCCTACACTTTGCTAGCACCAAGATATAGACAATTTTTTGCTTTTAAAACGGCTTTAATTCTTTTGAAGCATATATTCATGATGCTGAAAGCATGATATTGACATGAGCATCACATATTTGCTGCACATCCATGATATGAATCTCCTGTTCCAGCACATCCCACAGATGCTCTATTAGATTGAGTACAGGGAAGAGAGGATTTGAGATTTGTGACAGTGTGTTATAGCCTGCTGGAAGTATTCATCACAAAATGAGAACAGTGCTCTTGTTTGCTCCCAAGGTCTGTTCTCTACTTCTGTCTATTGGTGGTGTTTTGGTTCTTTACCTGCAGTTCATTCTGCTGTGGCGACCCTTGACATATCAAGGACTAAGGAAAATTAAGGAAAGATTCATTACCAGTGTCTCTTCTTGCTTGCTTGGAGTTGCTGATCTGCGGATCTGAATTAAGCTTCTATACTAACATTTGTATTAAATTGAAATAAATCTGCACCCGCCTTACCTGATATGCTGATTTTCAAAATGTGAACCGCTGTTTTGGCTTTTTATCCTCTTCATGTACAGTATGTTAAACTGCTTTGACAATCTACATTGTAAAGTGCTACTTGTTTTGCTCATCAAGCGATGGACATGGTCAGCAGCATTACTCAATTTGATTAGCAGATGTGAACTGTAGCCCCAATTTCCTGTTTTTAGCTAACAGGTCTGAAACATGGTGTGGTCTTTTGCTGCTATATATGATTTTGTGTTAAAGTTTAGCATGTTGTGTGCTCAGAGAGGCTCTTTTGTAGACCATAGCTGTTGTTTGAGTTGCTGTTGTCTTTCTGTCAGCTTCAATCATTCTCCTCTGACCTCAGCAAGGCACATAACTTCCATTTAATGGATGTTAGCTAAATTTGTACAATTCTCTGTAAGCTCTAGGGATTTTTATGTGTCTGAAACTAAGAGAACATTATTGGTTTCTGAAATACTCTGACAAGAATGCCTCGAACCAACAATTACAGTATGCCACTTTCAGAGTCAATTAAATCACTAGTTCTTCCTCATTCTGATGCTCGATTAAAATTTCTGCAGAATTTCTTGACCATGTCGATGTCTTTTCAGGGAACTGACTTCACTGACCAGTCAGGTTATGAGGCGATATTGCAAAGGCTACAAGATGGCCGACACATGTGCAAAGATGTAGAAGAACTGCTGAAAATGAGGTATGGAATTATTATTTACTGTAGAAATGTGTCTCTGCAAATGTCAGTGTGTCACATCTGCCTGCTTTTCTAGAGCACTAGCGGAGGAGAAGTACGGACGTGATCTGGTGGCAATTGCTCGAAAGGCAGAAGGCCAAACTGAGATCGGGTGAGATGGTTTATGAAGGGCATGCAAACATATACGAGCTCAAACACGCAAATATTCCTCCAACTTCAAATAACATGACCAGCGTTGGAAAAAGTTACATCTAAAAGACATGTATATCAAACTTAAGTTCATTTTTAAAAGTAATGTGGAGCAACACGGTGACTCAGTAGTTAGCACTGTCTCTTCACAGCAACAATGTCGCTGGTTTGAGTCCCGGCTGGGCCAGTTGGCATGACATTTTTGCATTTTATTTCATCCCGGCTGGGCTTGAGATTGCAATATATTACTTGTAGAAGTAACATTTCCTAACATTGGTTTATTTAAATTTGTTATTTATTAAACACCCTGACCATGACTGCCCTTTATTCAAGTAAATCCAAGTGTTAAAATATAAAAGTGTCTCATCTTTTTTTTCAGAACTCTGAAGGCGTCATTTGACAAGTTTAAAGAGGGTATGTGAGGTGATGCACTTCCTTTTGCCTCCTGCCTAAAACATGCTGGAATGCTCAGTCTGAGTTGTGTTGTTTTCTAGAGATCGAGAAGACAGGAAACCTGCACATCCAACTATCTGAAAGGATAAAGGAGGAAGTTCTGAAAATAGAGGTTTTTCGAGAACACCAGAGGGAACAGAGAAAAAAGGTAGAAGATAAAATCGTACTCGCACTGCACAATGCTCATAGCTGTGCTTATTCAAGTGCCATAAGTCAAAGAGGGGGAGAACGATTATGTTTTTGAGCACATAAAATGGCAATCCATTGTAAATGGCATGAAAAGTAGTGTAATAATAAATCAAAACAATAACTAAGATGAAGACTAATGCCTAATTCTTTTCCTGATTAGCTTGAAGAGATTATTGAAAAACTTCAGAAGCCGAAAATGGTGTTGCATAAAAAGACCATGGAGGTAAGAACAGTAAGCAGTATTAAAATGACCATCTAGTATTTCCAGCCATAAATAACCATAGATTTCCTCTTTCAGATATGTTTGTGATTAGTTGCTCAGGGTGTACCTGTGATATCACATGACTCTCAGGGTCCACTCAAATTCAGTATCTGCCAAAAGAGGAAGCTAGGAGAAACTGAAAGAAGAAACAGTCCCCCCTAGCCATGCAGTGAATGTAATAGCAGAATGCATTTTCAACTTGAGCTCTTTTCACACTTAACTAAATAAATGTTTAGTTAGTTTCAGCTTTTCTAATTTGCCACCATGCAGCAAATGCACAGGCGTTGAGAGAGAATAAGAATAGGTTTTTGGTTTGTAGGTCTGCACGCTCTCTCTGGATATAATAAGACTTGAACTTCCTGTGCTGTACAACCACACAAACACCACAGATCATGAGATGCATTTTTGACACATTCATGTAATGAGCACTGTAGTATTCCCCCACTCCCTGCTCACTTTCATCTTGCACTTTTACTTACTTTGAATATGTTCTCTTTAATATGTCCAACAGTCAAAACGATTATATGAGCAGAGATGTAAAGAGGCTGATGAATCTGAACAAGCACTGGGAAAGAAAACAAATGTGAACACCTCCACTCATCGCCAGTCAGAAAAAGTGAGGAAATTTGTTTATTAATTTTTTACATTTGCTATAACTTTTTATCTAATAAATAAATACGCTAAATTGTTCTTTTAAAATGGCTATTTTAATTCTGGAACTTACCGTTGTGGAAATTTACCTGTGGCAGGTTTGTGGTCACAATAGGGGCCAAAAATGAGGATTAAAGCAACGCAAACTTGTTTCAGTTTGACAGGCATCATTTCACATAGCATTAAAAAACTACTACCATCAGACAGTACACACTTTCATTTCCTTACAACACAGTCTTTATGTCCATTTTTTATTAGTGTTTTGCATTTATGTTTCACTGCATGTGTGTTAGACCTTGGTATATATGCAAAGTCTTGATTTTATTCAGTTCTGATTCACAAGCTCTCCCCTTTTTAAATAAAATGAAAGTTTTGACTTGATTTGTTTAATTGAATTTAGATTTAATAGTCAATTGTCGATTATTGTTTTACCCATATTTAAATTGGTCCTCTGCTTTTGATTTATCCAAGAGTACACATTCATGAGTGAGAAGTAAGAGCACGCTCAGACTCACACACCTGGAGCAGTGGGCAGCTATTGTATTCAGCATCCAGGGAGGTGTCTTGCGGTTGTTTTTAGAAGGGATATACAGTAGCTGCGGCTGGAAGTTAATGAGAATTATTTATATTATTTAATAAATTACACATTAATAAGTATTTTATTAATGTCTACCTCTGCCCTGATCCTAAACCCAACCCTCACAGTTATGTAAAAAAAAAAAAAGTAATTACCCATAAGTTATATTTTATTAACATCTACTCCCACACCGACCCTCATGGTAATGTAAAAATAATAATTATTGTTGTACATCAGTGTCACAAAAATTATGCTTTATTGATGCGAGTATCCACAGCTGTATCTCATCTATATTTCATCATGTCTTGCCCAACACTGTAAAAAATGCAGGGTTCCACACATTTCATTAATGTTGTCCCAACACAAATTAATTAGGTTAACTTAACAATTTAAATAAATTTATGTGGATTGAACATAAAAAATTAAGCTGTCTCAATGAAATCTTAAGATTAAAAAAAAAAAATTAAATAAAAAAAAATAAATTATATATATATATATATATATATATATATATATATATATATATATATATATATATATATATATATATATATATATATAATTTTTTTTTTTTTTTGAGTGAAAGATACTTCACTTGGGTATTGAAGATGCGAAAGATTACAGTCTGTTCAACCCCTCCACCTTCTGTTCATGCCGGTCAAACTCCCTAATCATTAGGCCACAACTGCACCAGTGAAAAGTAATTAAGAGCTCTATTAACTCCTTTTATTACATGAAAACAGACCCCGCCTCTAATTTTAAATGCACTCAATTCATAGTCAGAATATTGACCTTATTCTGCAATGTGGAAGTAAGCTCTTTCTGCTATTTTTTCAGAACTTCTGATTAGTTTGACTGTGAGGGAAATGACTAGGAACAACAAACGTCAGTAAATGGTCAAACTACTTGCTCTACAAACGGTTGTGTTTATGACAGTACATAAAAAGAAAAAGAAAATTCCAGCTTTCAACATCAAGCGACATGAGCTGTGTTTTACAGAAATGAATGAGACCTAAAGCTAATAAGATTTAAATGGTTGTAATGATTTAATGGTTATTATAGAATAAAGCAAATATCTTATTGGAAAAATAAACTGATTATTTTTGAGAATCAATATAAAATCTACCACATTTAAAAATAAATATATTTATAAAGTTATCCTAAAATATTTTTAATATGTATAAAATGTTTTTTACACTACTGTTCAAATTTGTCAGGTTGAAATCCTGAGTATTTATGAGTCTGTCTTGTATTACAGGTGATGAACAGAGCCCGGTTATGCAGACAAGCAGCCAACCTTGCAGGTTTGTGCTAAGTCAAAATAATCAATTAGTCAATCAATCATTGTGTCCACATGTTAGTTAACACTACTGCTCAAAAATTGTGTTCTGTTAGTATTTTTTAAGTCTCGTAAATTCATTTGATTGAAATACAGTCTAGTGTTCAGCTTAAAGTGCAACAGTCAATTAATTTATTCATTCATTTTCCTTTGGCTTAGTCTCTTGTTTATCAGGGTCAGAATGAACCACCAACTATTTCAGCATATGTTTTACACAGCGGCTGCCCCTCCAGCTGCAACCCAGTACTGAGACCCATAAACACACATATCTACACACACTCATACTTTGCAGCCAATTTAGTCAATAATATCCAGCTGCAGGCCCGCAGAACCACACATGTTTTAGGCACACACAATCTGGCACACACAATCTAGGCAAGCATATATGGTTACGACTGATGTTAATGTTATTAATGTTACTTTTTGATCATCGTCATCGATATATTTTGATATATATGGTTAAAAATATTGTACACAATAAACAATAATGTTTACTATATTTATTAGACGGGCGAATGGGGAGCGTTGTTTCCGATCGCCATTCAATATAATAGACTGAACAATTTTCTATCAGTCATCATAGCTGATCAGTCATTATTATTTGACAATAATTTGGCAGATACTTGTTTGCTGGCCTTGCTGAACGATCTAAATTGGACAGGTTTAATTTATATGATGTATTCATTTATAATAAAGGAAATAATAGCAAGTTAATATAGGCAATAATACATTTTAAATGTAATAAAAAATCTTTTTACATGTAACAATTAAATAACACTATATTAATATTTTACTCAAGCGATTTAATAGTGTTTATTTACTTAATTTTCTAATAACTTTTTAATTAATGATTTTCCACATTTAATAATGTAGTAATTTATAGTACGCTTTATATTGTTTTTAAACCAAAATTTAGCAATAGAAACTAATTAACTGTTAATAATTAATAAAAAATAATAAGTAAATATGTATGTGTATATATGCATATATGTATGTATATGTATGTATGTATGTATGTATGTATGTATGTATGTATGTATGTATGTATGTATGTATGTATGTATGTATATATAAAAAAAAAATATATATATATATATATATACACACACACACACACACACACACATATATATATATATATATATATATATATATATATATATATATATATATATATATATATATATATAACTAACAGCTGTGACAGTTTAGTAAAAGATAGTAGTTTATAATCAGTTAAGATAATTAGTTTATAACTATATATATATTGTTTAAATGATAACTACAGTAGGCTAATTAATTTTAATGTGACATATATTATTGTTTGCTTTTTATATTTTACAAAAAAAGTGATTTTAACCAAGTATAATTATTAAGGTCCTGAATTAGTTTATTACACTTAATCCTACAATTAGACGGTTTATTATGTTTTCTTTGTGTATGTGGACACATGAATAAAGTCATAAGTGTCTTTAACCAATTATTTTTATTTACATAATTTGAATTCAGAAACTGCAGAGATTTTAAAATGATTGTTACGATATAATAATCATAATGACTGAAATGGGAAACCAAATTTGTGAAATTCAATAGGTGGTGATAATGCTAAGGAGTTAGTTAGTGTGCTAGATTGTGTGTGCCTAAAACGTGTGTGGTTCTGTGGTTCTGCAGCTGGATATATCTCAATTTAGTTGATTCTGTCTACCTATAGCGTATGTCTTGGGCTGTGGGGGAAACCAGAGCACCCGGAAGACACCCATGCCAACAAGGGGAGAACATGCCAACTGCACACAGTAATTCCAACCAACCCAGCCTGGACTCGAACCAGCAACCTTCTTGCTGTGAGACGCCAGTGCTAACTACTGAGCCACTGTGACAGTGGCTTGTTCGGTAGCCAATCAACAAAACAATAATTTCGTAATGGGGTTAATTTTGACCTTAAAATGGTTTTAAAGTATAGAAAAACTGATTATTCAGGCCAAACTAAAAGAAATAAGACTTTTTCCAGAAAAAATAAAACATTAGGAAACACTGTGTAAATATATTTGCTATGTTAAATATCTGTTAAACTTTGGAAATTTTTGAAAAGGAAAGCACATTTCACATGAGTAATAATAATTTTCCCTTCAATAGTGAATAGTAATGTTTAAATTGCAAATTTGATCAGTTCAGTTTAGTCAAAATTGTACTGACTCCAGAAGAACTTGCATAAAGTTGTGATTGACGTGAAAGCTCTAAATTAATCTGGACCTTTTCAAGCTCAGTAAGTGAAGCAGTATTGCATTCTGACTTTCATTTCTTTTATTTGCTGGTTCAGAAAAGCAGTACAGATGGAATGTTGATCAACTAGCGAAAACCTGCCAGGACTGGGAGAGCACATACCGGAGCGCATGTGAGGTAAAACATAAAAATAACATGTATAAAACTTGCATAGACTGCTGAAAGGTAATGTGAACACAGCAGAATGGCTACATGCAGAAATAATCATGGTTAATAATAATCACGACCATGTTTCATAGACATGTGATTACCAGTCATAGCACTGTGCTGTAGAAGTGGAACATTTTTATTGGTGTACTACACTGATTTAGATGAGTCAATAAATGTCATAGCCAAAAATAAAAAAGAGGAAACAACTTAGTTTTCAACATATTTTAACAGGAAGCGTCATAACACATTTTACACAAGGAACAAAACCTTTTATATTGTCGTTGTATCATAGGTGTTCCAGCAGCAGGAGTCTGAGCGCATTAATATCTTGCGCTGTGTGCTATGGGAGCATTGCAATCTGCTGTCCAAGCAGTGTGTCCAGGATGATGATGTAAATATTCTGCTTTGTCCATCTTCATGTACTGTTAATAAGAGCCCAAGCAAATATTGTTCACATATGGCTATTGTTTTGTAGTGTTATGAGGAGGTAAGGAAGATTCTAGAGCAGTGTGACATCGTTGCTGACAACAATAACTTCATTAAGATGAAAAAGACTAGCAGTCATCCCCCAGGTAAAGTCATCATCCTTATCAAAATCATCATGATTTAATACGGTTATATTTTTATCAACTGACATGAAAAGTATGTGATGTTGTTAAATAGAGAGTTTATTTAGCTGTAAATATACCATTTACATTAAAAGAAGTCGGTGGCTACTGGCACTTTTATAGTTAAATAAAACTATGGGTGATTCAAAAAGTGCATGTACTGTACATGTTGTGTCTTCAAGATAAACCTATTATTTTTATAATTCAGAAACCTTTAAAGAATAGTTTTGAATACAAACACAATTTACATCATGTTATCTCTAAAAGTAATGCTCGTATGTGTATTATGTGAAAAATATGAACTTAAAGGGCCCTATCATACACCTGGCGCAATGTGGCGCAAGGCGCGGCGCAATAGTCTTTTGCTACTTTAAGCTTGGCGCAAGGGTCATTTTGAGGTGTTGCGCCACACTGTTTAAATAGCAAATGCATTTGCCCTCAAATGTGCGCCCATAGGCATTCTGGTCTAAAAAAGCAGCCGTGTTTTGGCGTGTTGCTATTTTGAGAAACTGTAAATAGTCTGATCTTCAGACCAGAACAAAGTCGGTCTATTGTCTGGTGCGCCTGGCTTACACACTACACACAAGATGTAGAGCAGTACGCAAATATCTTTACATATGAAAAAGATATAATATCTTAAAGATATATATATAATAAGGATATATATAGGATATAAATACAAATGATTAAAATATTACAAAACATATTGTTTTCTAGCCTACATGAATTTAAAAACCACTGCCTTCATACTTTCTTCATCTCGGGAAGCTTTTTCAGTTCATTCAATTTGCTTTTGTATAATGTTATTATTATTAGCAGTATTATTTATTATATCCATATTTATATATATTTTTTTATTAAAAACAAGCTTAGATGTGTCCACCTGTCAGGTTTTAGACCATATGGGGCATAGCAGGTGTATTTGGAAATAACTCAGGTTTTTGACCACACTTTGTTTTTATTAATCATTTATTCGTTTGCTAGAAATTAGAACTGAATTTAGAAATAGTTTTGAAACAAATCTTTGCGCTTAACAAACAAAATTAATTATTTATAGGCTAATTGATGTCTGTGCGGTAAGGTTTCCCTATCCAAGAGAGCAAAAGCGAAAGTCAACTTACTTTACGTCATGTTAATAGCATTGCGCTTATGGCGCGACGCAGCTAGCTCTTAAAGGTAATGGGAGATGAGACTCTAATTGGTTTATTCTCAAAACACACCTATAACTCATTAAGAAAATAAACTCAACCCTTTTAGACCATGCGCCATGGCGCAAACCGGATTTTCCCGTCCTTAAGTTAGCAAAAATGCGTTCTGACATGCCCTGAAAGCGTTTGCGCCATGCGTTTTGCGCTTTGCGCATGGACCGTCAAAATAGAGCCCAAAGACTCCCACTATACATATTTTTATTGTTTCTGCCACTTGAACCATACATTAAGCTTCAGTTACCTTGAACTAATTAAGTCCAAAATTCATTCTATAAATGTCATAACAGCTTAATTATTTTCCTTAACGTTTGTTTTAAAGTGCTTCATGTATTTACTGCTGAGGACACTGACCTGGACAGATTGTTGTGCATAGATTTAGTTTCTTGTAGTTTTTAAACATTTGTGCTTTTTTATTAGTTAAAAGAAAGTTTATGTTGGAAAAAAGTGTATACAAGTAGAGTTTGCTTGATTTTACACAATGTTGGAAATATTTTGCTAAGAATTAACATTATTAATTTATTATCGTATTATTAAATGTATTAAATTCTAATATTTTTATATAAATAAAATATTTTCCATCTGGGACATTTTAACAACTCCTTAGCATTTAACCCTTTAAAAGTTTAAAATTGCATTCATAATGCTCTTAAAAATGTCTTAAAGTCTTAAGTTTTACTTGGTGCAACATGCAGAAACCCTGCCCCACTTCTTGAAAATAAAACTTGCAAATGGTTTGAAAATGAAAGTCAGAACTGTGACTCCTGATCTCACAAGGAAACGTAACTATTTTACATTGTCAATTTAGTGGCTAATTCGTACAAGTTCAGTCGTCTAAAAATGTACGATTTTAAAAAGGTGGTGTGGCACCCAACCTTACCCCTAAACCCAACTGGCATTGGTGGATAAGCAAATTGTACTAAATTGTGGGAATGGGATCATATGAATTTATACGAATCAGCCACTAAATCAAAAAGCTACGACTTAACGTGAGATCGTGTTGGGTTTAAAGGACTGATAGGAAAAGCATTTGACTTGCTCAAAGTGACTTTACTTCCACTGACATGGCATGTCATTTGTTCTTCTCTTATTAATTTGTGTAAAATGTTTTGGAATTAGGATACACTAATGATAGATTAATAATTTGGTGATATTTAAGTGAAATTGACTTTCGCTTTTTAAAAACAATAACTTGATGAATGGATAAAAATATTATTTCTAGACATGACTTGTTTGATCTTGAGCTAAAGCACAAGCGGTTGAAATTGTCAACTGTTATTGTCCACTACTTGTTAGTAGTTTACAAATTTGAACAATAATTAAACAACATTTATTCTTTCATTTTCTTTTTGGCTTAGTCCCTTTATTAATCCGGGGTTGCCACAGCTGAATTTATCCAGCACGTTTTTACACAGCGGATGACCTTTTAGCCGCAACCCATCTCTGTGAAATAATTAAACAACAATTAATAATAAATGTTTCAAATAATATCAAATGTTTCAAATAAAATCTAATTAATATCAAATGTTTCCTGTCACATATAAGCATATTTTGCATTATTTTATGCAACTGAAATGTTTGATATGCACATGAAATTGACCTGTAATTCTTGTCATATACAGGTCAAATAAAAAAATACTCATGGCCCTTAATAATACATTGACGTTTTATGTAACTAAATGATCTGTCTGTGTCAGAAACTGAACATTATTTATTACATTAACTTTAATTCACAATCTCAGCAAACAGTCCTGAGTGCATTCATAAGCAGATTTTTGTAAAAAAAAAAAAAACTATTATTCTACTACTATTATTCTCAAAGTGATATAATCTTTTTTTGCCGTGTGACTTGTATTTTATAAACCACCAAGAACTACGGTTTCAGCTAAACATCTTAAATAACGTCCTACTTAATAAAAAGTCACTCACATTTTAGATGGCCTGAGGATGAGTAAATGAACAGGAAGCTCTCATTTTTGCGTGAACTGTCCCTTTAAGAACTTGTACATAAGTCCCTTTATCATTTCTCTTCAGCTCCTATTGAGTTTCAGTGTTACTCTGATGCGGACACTAATGGAGGAGTCAGGAGGATCGAAACCAACAGGTTAAATGTCTCAAGTACTTTAAATTATTAAAACTGGCATGTTTCATATCTAGAAATTTGATTGTGAAACTCTTCCATATTTTAACTTTCTACAGATTATCTGTCGTGCTCTCAGGGATGTCTTTCAGTGGTTGGTATCAGATTGTAAACAAAATATAAAGAGAAGCTTATATAAAAAATCGTTAAACAAAAGTAGCTTAATCTGCATTGTTTGGATCATCTTTACATTGCAGGGTTTCCTGAAGCAGGCAATAATTCTGGTGCAAAATACACACCTGACCAACAAAGGATAGGAGTGACTGAGGAAAAGTACATGGTGTTATATGAATTTAAAGCTCAGGTAAATACTTGGTTGTAATTCCTTATTTTCTTTACTTATTTGTTTACTTATTTACTTAATTATGTAATAATTTACTTATTTACTTAATTATATACTTAATTATGTATTGCAAATTTAAAGAGTCTTTATTGGCCTTATTCTTTCACATACAAGCAGTTGCAGCCATTGTTCTAAACCTATCACAGAATCGAGATTACTTCATTGCAGAAAAGGTTCAATTAAATGATTTGTGAGCCTTACACTTTTATCAATGTTGAATCAAATTTTTGTTCATTAGTGTTGAATCAAATGAACTTTTCTAATAATCTCATATTACAGTAAATCAATCAAACTGACTCAAAATGTTAAATTAAACTTTGTGTTAAAAACATATTAACTTATTAAAATACACTTACCGGCCACTTTATTAGGTACACCTTACTAGTACCAGGTCGGCCCCCGTTTTGCCTTCAGAACTGCCTTAATCCTTCGTGGCATTGATTCAACAAGGTACTGGAAATATTCCTCAGTGATTCCACCACATCACAAAGGTGCTCTGTTGGATTGAGATCTGGTGACTGTATAAGCCATTTGAGTACAGTGAACTCATTGTCATGTTCAAGAAACAAGTCTGAGATGATTCACGCTTTATAACATGGCGCGTTATCCTGCTGGAAGTAGCCATTTAAAAGATGAGTACGCTGTGGTCATGAAGGGATAGACATGGTCAGCAACAAAACTCAGGTAGGCTGTCGTGTTAACACGATGCTCAGTTAGTACTAATAGACCCAATCTTTTTCCAATCTTCTATTGTCCAATTTGGGTGAACCTGTGCAAATTGTAGTCTCTGTTACCTGTTCTTATATGGTTGTGCGTGAAAATCCCAGTAGCTCAGCAGTTTCTGAAATACTCAAACCTGCCTATCTGGATACAGTCATTGGTCTGGCACCAACAATCATGCCATGTTCAAAGTCACTTAAATCACTTTTCTTCCCCATTCTGATGCTCGGTTTGAACTTCAGCAAGTGCATTGAGTTGCTGCCATGTGATTGGCTGATTAGAAATTTGCGTTTACAAGCAGTTGTACCTAATAAAATGGCCAGTGAGTGTAATGCTAAAGTAACAAAAACATTTGTTGTCATGACTTTGTGTCAAATGTTACATTTCACAGTGTATACACTGATAGATATATATTTGTTTTCTCTATAGGAAGATGATGAGTTGTCTATCAGTAAAGGACAAGTTGTGACAATAACAGAGAAAGGTGAGGATGGGTGGTGGAAAGCGTGGTGTAATGGAGTGTCCGGGCTGGTTCCTGGAACATACTTGACCAAAATGTCACCGAACAGTTCACGCCTTGCTGCTGCCCATCCTGAACATAATCCTATCAAATAGAGTTTAGTAGTCTTTACACCAAGTCTTTCTAAATTCTAATAGAGGTTATAGAAATTATTAACTGTCCTGACAGCACTTTTTTAAGGTCATGTGCACACTGCTGCTAATTTTGTTTGTCAGTTCACCTTTTAGTGCTTAGCTGTATTCTCTTCACACCAATAGTAATTTACTAATGTAAGTACAGCATTAAGTAATCACATTGGCTGCAGCTATAAGCAAGTTTCTAGAGTGACATGCGCTGTGAATCTAAATTATTAACAAGTACAGAATGTGAGTCTGCTCTGAAATAACAACGGTCAGCAGTGTTACGGTATGTTCGCACCAAATATAAATATAACAAAACATATATTTGCGTCCTCACTGACTAGGCAACACAAAGACGCGAGTGTAGCACAGGATATCTGAGGTACTTTTATTTTTATTCTTCTGTTTACCAGCCTCGCTTGCAGAGTTTCTTGGTATTATACATCTTTAGTAAATTGCACAAGAGCTTTATAAATTTCAATAGATCCTGACTGGCTGTCAGTGTTTTATCTTTATTAAAAATATAAATATATACAGTTAAAGTCAGAATTATTTGCCCCCTTTGTTTTTTGTTTTCTTTTTATATATTTCCCAAATGATGTTGAACAGAGCAATGAAATGTTCACTGTATGTCTAATAATATTTTTTCTTCTGGAGAAAGTCTTATTTGTTTTGTTTTGGCTAGAATTAAAGCAGTTTTTAATTTTTTAAAAGCCATTTTAAGGACAATTTTTAGCCTCTTTAAGCTAATATTTTTTCGATAGTTTACAGAACAAACCATCAACATACAATAACTTGCCTAATTGCCATAACCTGCCTAGTTAACCTAATTAACCTAGTTAAGCCTTTAAATGTCACTTTAAGCTGTATAGAAGTGTCTTGAAAAATATCTAGTCAAATATTATCTACTGTCATCATGGCAAAGACTAAATAAATCAGATAATAGAGATGTGTTATTAAAACTGTTATGTTTAGAAATGTGTTGAAAAAATCTTCTCTCCATTAAACAGAAATTGAGGAAAAAAAATAAACAGTGAGGCTAATAATTCAGGGGGGCTGATAATTCTGACTTCAACTGTGAGTGTTCAGCATAAATGAGTGCACCTCTCACAGATCTCTCTTTAAAATCAGGATATTCTATAAGATGCTTTACAATTATATATTTGTGTACATCTAGATTAGTCAGGGCCAAAGCCAAAACTAAGACTTGTTTAACAAAATAACTCAATATCACTGTCACAAAAAGATCACAATAAATAGTATGCCCAAATTATTCTTAGGGTAAAATATTAAAAATATATTTATATATATATATATATATATATTTTTTACATGATCTATACAATATTATTACTAAAAGTGTTTGATAACCAATATTGTATTATTTAAGTTAGTTTAACAGTTTTGTTTAAATGCACCAAAGAGCAATTAACAATAACAGGTGAACTGGCAACCAAAAGTAGCTGCAGTGCTTACACAGCCAATGTGAAGTTGTGAAGTGTGTGTCTGTGTGTATGTGTATATATATATATATATATATATTTGTTTCTACTTTTATTTTTTTTAATTATATATATACACACACACTGTAAAATATGCTGGGTTCCACACAATTGATTTGTGTTGGGAAAACATGAAGGAATTAAATTAACATACACATTTAAGTGGATTCAACACAAAACAATTAAGTTGTCCCAAAAATAATCAAGAATTATGATGTTTCAGCTCATTTTAAATAAGTAGTTTAAACAAATGTCATTTTTGAGTGTACTGTAAAATATGTATACATTTAGTATTATACACTTTGTAATATTATAATATATGTTACATTCAGTATTTTCACAATAAAAATACAAATACTGGGTTGAGCCTCTATGCAACTTTGTTGGTTGTGTTACCCACCTGCTGGTGAAATTATTATAGAATATAAATAACAGCCCTTTTCTTGTATGGGTAGACATTTGACTAATAAAAAGGGTTGGTGACCTCTAGTGGGGAAAGTGTCAAAATAGCTGAGAACGTAAAAAAAAAGTAGATTTTAGTAAGGACAGCAGCTTATTAAATGCTTGATGTGAAAACTAAGATGTGAAGTATGAATGTATATACAGTTGAAATCAGAATTATTAGCCCCCTTTTGAATGTTTTTTTTTTCTTTTTTAAATATTTCCCAAATTATGTTTTTAAGAGCAAGCAAATTTTCACAGTATGTCTGTTAAAATCTTTTGTTCTGGAGAAAGTCTTATTTGTTTTTTTTTTGGCTATAATAAAAGCAGTTTTTGTTTTTTTTTAAACACTATTTTAAGGTCAAAATTATTAGCCCTTTAAGCTTTATTTTTTTGATAGTCTACAGAAAACCATCGTCATACAATAACTTGCCTAATTACCCTAACCTGCCTAGCTAACCTAATTAACCTGGTTAAGCTTTTAAATGTCACTTTATTCTCTAAAGAAGTGTCTTTAATACAAGTACAAGGCAACAAAATGCAGTTTAGGTCTAACCAGCAGTGCAACAGCAGCAAGTGATGGATACAAGTATAAAGTGCAGTTATAGAAAAACTATAGTGATTTTTACAGATGGATGTACTATGAATATTATAAACAGGTTGTATTAGCTATGAACAGATTTACAATAAATGAATATATGTACAGGTTGCTATTAATTATCAGAAGTGTGCAGATAGATAAACAAGATTACAAACGTATATGTACAGTGGTTGTGTACATAATTACAAATAGCCATGTGCAGTGGGTATGTACAGTTCAAATAAGTGAATCAGTGCAATGTAGTGCAATGAAAATGTGCAAATGTTAAACAGTGCAGTGATTGTGCAGAGTATAAGTTAGAGGAGAGAGGGGGGTGCATTGGTGGGGCAAAAGAGTCAGTGAGGGGCAGGGTTTAAGAGGGAGACAGCTTTGGGGAAAAAGTTGTTCCTCAGTCTGCTGGTTTTTGTCCGGGGGAGCCTGAAGCGCCTGCTGGAAGGCAGTAGTGAAAACAGTTTGTGAGCAGGGTGAGAGGTGTCCCTAAGAATACTGCGTGCTTGGTACAGACAGTGTTTCTTCTGGATGTCCTCAATGGCTGGCAGTGTGGTCCCTATGATGTGTTAGGGAAGTTTTCAGCACCCGCTAGCAGCTGATTCGCTCACAAGGTGATGTCATAGTTCCTCCACTCTATAAGCAGCAGTTATAATGGTGGATGTGAACTCCCTTGGTAAATAGTAAGGTCTACATTTAACCATTAGAAATTCCAGGTTAGCAGAGCAATGTCTCCCAACGATGACAGAGTTTGTGCACAAAGTTTGTTAATATAAATGCATAATCCTCTGCCTCTGGTCTTACCGAAGTCATCCGCCATTCTGTCTGCTCAGAATGTGTGGTGCTCAGTTAGAGATACAGTGTTGTCTGGAATCCCGCTCTTTAGCCATGTTTCTGTGAAAATCAAGACATTACAGTTCCATAATCTTTTGCTGTGGTTAATGCGCTGTCAAATCTCATCCATTTTGTTCACCAGTGACCGTACAAGGCAAAGATATAATAAATCAGTTATTAGAAATGAGTATTAAAACTATTATGTTTAGAAATGTGTTGAAAAAAATCTTCTCACCATTAAACAGAAATTAAGGAAAAAATAAACAGGGGGGCTAATAATTCTGACTTTAACTGTATATGTATGTTTTCGTAAACAATATAAACAGTTTTACTGATGAAGCCTGTTTATAAAATACACTTTCAGAAGTCTTAAGAGGTCAGAGGTCTGAACTGACATAAGCGTTATCACAAGAAGAAATAAATGTAGAAATAATAGAAATAAACCAATGATATATATATATATATATATATAAATAAAAAATAAAAGGCGACTTTATATGTTTTTATTAAACTCCATGATGGGTTAATCTTATGATGATGGATAAATGAATGAATGTAAAAAAAAATGTGTGACTATTAAAAACATTGCCTTAGATCATTTATTTAATCACATATTTATGTTTATTGGGGTGGTATGATGGCTCAGTGGTTAGCACTGTTGCCCAACAGCAAGAAGGTCACTAGTTCGAGTCCTGGCTGGGTCAGTTGGCATTTCTGTGTGGAGTTTGCATATTCCCGACATGTTAGTGTATGTTTCCTCCACCTGCTCTGGTTTCCCCTATACCAGGGGTGCTCAACCCTGTTCCTGGAGATCTACCTTCCTGCATAGTTCAGCTCCTACCCTGACCAAACACACCTGAATCAATTAACTAGGACCTGAACAGCACTTGATAATTACAGGCAGGTGTGTTTGATGTGGGTTGCAACTGAAATCTGCAGGAAGGTAGATCTCCAGGAACAGGGTTAGCCACCCCTGCCCTATACAGTCCAAAGACTTGCTCAATAGGTGAATTGAATGAACTAAATTGGTCGTAGTGTGTGTGTGAATGGGTGTGTATGGATTTTCCACTATACTGGGTTGTGGCTGAAAGGGCATCCACTGTGTAAAACATATGCTGGAATATTTGGCGGTTCATTCCGCTGTGGTGGCTTCTGAAGTAAGCTGAAGAAAAATGAATTATTTATTTTTATTTGTATATGCTTTAAACTGAACAGACATAAAGGGCCCTATCATACACCCTGCGCAGTGTGGCGCAAGGCGTGACGCAGTAGTCTTTTGGTAGTTTAAGCTTGGTGCAAGAGTCGTTTTGAGGCGTTGCGCTACGCTGTTTAAATAGCAAATGCATTAGCGCTCATTTTTGCGCCCCTAGGCGTTCTGGTCTAAAAAGGAAGGCGTTCTGAGGCGGACTGCTGGCGCGTTGCTATTTTGAGAAACTATAATAGATTTTTCATTAGACCAAAACTAACCCGGTCTAAACTTCAGCCAGAGTTGCGCCTCGCTTACACACTGCTTAATACACACAAGAGAGCAATAAGCAAATATCTTTACATATGAAAAAATTTAAATATTAAGGATATATATATAGGATATAGTAAGAATAAATATAGAATATAAATATAAAAGATTAAAATGTTACACAACATATTATTTTCTAGCCTACATAAATATGAAAAACTACTGCTTTTTGAGCACATTTTGCTATTATTATTCATTTATTCGTTTGCTGGAAATTAGAACTGAATTTAGAAATAGTTTTGAAATGAATATTTGCGCTTAACAAACAAAAGTATTTATTTATAGACTAATTGATGTCTGTGCGTAAAGGTTTCCCTTTCCAAGAGCGAAAGTGAAAGTGATCCATTATCTCTCTATCTCGCAGTAGATACTCTGTTTAACAGTTTTCTGTTAAAAAACTGTTAACTGTTTGCTTGTGAAATGCTCATTTTTTCCACTTA